TGCACTTCTTTGACATCTGATTCTTGTTGATAATTGAGTTATGGTGTTCCTTATATTTACCTGATGCCCTTCTGTTATCATTTGATGTTTCCTCGCAGCATGTTCCCCCTTCCGTCCTTAACTGTACATTTTTGCTTTTATTTTTCACTGTATATGATTTAACTGCACATGTTTATTTGGTAGTCTGGTCCTAGCCTCGTCACTACTTTGCCGAGGTTAGGCTAGGCACTTACCAGCACATGAGGTCGGTTGTATAGATACTACACTCTGCACTATGTGCAGATTCCAGTGCTGTAGCTTTTGGACCGCAGTGAGGGTGCTATCTTCAGTCCATTCAGGCGACCCGAGGTAGACTTGCAGGCGTCCACAGGCCCTGGCGTCCCCTTCTATCTTTCCATACTGTTTCTTCTATGTATTTCTGAAACAACTTGTAGTTATCTTTCGAACCCTTATTTTTAGTATTCCTAGACAATCTGTGATATTGTGACACCAAATTCTGGGTAGAGTTATATCTCGGATTTATGTATCAGCGTTTGGTTAAACTATTAAGTTTTCGTCTTTCGCATTTCTGGTTATTTTTAATGATTCCGCTGTTGGTCACCTATTATATTGATCTGTTGAAAAGGCTTAATAAAAAAAGGGTAATGAATTTATAATACTCGGCTTGCCTAGCTTTCACGAGTAGGAGCCATCACGACTCCTGAGGGTGGAAAATTCGGGTTGTGACAACCAAACGCGTAGATAAGTCAAAAAGCGCTTATAAGCTAGTTTTGACCAACTTATAAGCTTAGCCAAACGCCCTCTTACTCTCATTTACAAGATCTGAAAACAAGTAGTAGTAGCAATTATTACCTGAAAATTTTCAGATTTGCGACCGACAGTTGCAAAATTACCGACCAAATCAGTCGCAAATACCTAAAAATTCAACGCGTTCCAGATTATCCATTTTGCGACTAATTCAGTGGCAAATTTTTGGCTGTTTCGGTCGCAAACTGTTTGCGACCATGTGTTTTCCAATCGATCGTTTTCAGTCGAAAATTCGTCAGAAATGTTCGATTTGCGACCGTTTTGCCGGTCGGAATTTAGCCATTTTTTAGTAGTGTTTGAGAACGGTCTACTATATCGTTTGATAATATTTTCTAAAATATTGTGATTTTTTAATTGTTTGAAAAATATATAACACGTTATAGTTGATTTTTCTCTCATAGTAACTTTAATACTATTGCATTATTTATATTTATGAGAAATGTGAAATATAACATCTTTTATGAGTTTTTTGAATATTTTAAATTTTCTTAAACTTTTAATGTACTCTCTCTCTCTCTCTCTCTCTCTCTCTCTATATATATATATATATATATATATATATATATATATATATATATATATATATATATATATATATATATATATATATATATATTACTGTATTTTATTTATTTATAAATTAAAAATCTTAAAGATCTGTGGGGCTTATGTCCCATGTTTCGTGGCTTACGCCTCACGACCTCATTTTAGTAAAAGGTCCCACCTTACCCTAATGCCTTTTAAAATACTTCTAGAGAATGTTTGAATATTTTTTATATTTTTAAAATTGCAAGTTATATTTCACAAAACTTTATATTACAAAAGTATTTTCTTATCTGTCTCTCAAAATAAATTATGAAATCATTTATCAATTCAAATTATACACATCACAAAATATATATTTATGTATCTTTTGTAATTTGATGATTAATAATTGTCACGATCCAAAGCTCACTATAGGTCGTGATGGTGCCCAACATCGTCGTTAGGCAAGCCAACGGTAAACGACCAACTTATTTATTAATTTCATAAATTTTGAAATCATGAATTTATTAAATAAAGAAATTTGCGCATTTAGAATCATGGATACATGCACAATTAGTAAAGTATAAAGATGAAAGGTGACAATATTGTGCAATCCCGTAAAATATTAACTAAAATATCTCAAAACCCGATGTCACAAGTGCATGAGCATTTGCTAAAGAGTGCAATAATAATACAACATCTGTCTGGAATATGAAATAGAGAGGATGAAGTAAAAAAATAAGATGGAGATTCTGAGGGCTACGGTGCGTAGCATAGAGAGCAACTCATCATAAAGTCCCCTCAGCAGTTGGACCTACGCGCCAGGATGACCACCAAATGAACCTGTCAAAACCTGCACGTGTAGTGCAGAAGTGTAGCATAAGTACGTAAATCAACGCATACCCAATAAGTATCTAGTCTAACTCCGGAGAAGTAGTGACGAAGGGCCGACATCGATACTTACTAATGGTCCAATAATAAAGTGCATGAATCATAGGCATGCATGAAATACAACAAGATCAATAGGGCAATGAACAGTAGATAACAAAATCAGTTAGCAAAATATCTTCGGTTTTATATCCCCTAGGGCCGCATGGTATCTTAACAATGTAAGAACCATCAACTAAATATCCGATCTCAGGTCATAGAGAAATATCATGAAAATTTCAAGTTCAATTAAGAGGAAAATCTAATGGGTATTCGGACTCCTAATGATTTTCAGGTCATATATATATATTATATATATATATACACACATACATATATACATACATATTCTATGTTTACTTGTGGTTATGTGACTTGCCGGAATGGTCGATTTGGTTCTGGGGATGTTTTAGAGTAAATTGAGACACTTAACCCCAAGGTTAGAAGTTTAAGTAGAAAGAGTTGATCGGATGATGACTTATGAGTAGACGACTCCGAAATAGAGTTTTGATGATTCTGATAGCTTCGTATGGTAATTTTGGACTTAGGCGTATGTCCGAATTTGGATTTGGAGGGCTGTAGGTTGATTGGGTGCATTTTAGCAAAAGTTGGAAAGTTGAAGATTTGGAAGGTTGAGAGGTTTGACCGAGAGTTGACTTTGTGTATATCGGGTTCGAATTTTGGTTCCGGGAGTTGGATTAGGTCTGTTGTGTCATTTATGACTTATATGAAAAATTTGAGGTAAATCGGAGTGGATTTGACATGCTTCTGCATTAGTTTTACAAGTTGGAAGTTCATTAGGTCATTAGGCTTGAATTGGGTTTTGATTCGTGGTTTTGATATTGTTTGATGTGATTTGAGGCTTTGACTAAGTTCATTTTGTTTTAGGACTTGTTGGTATATTTGGATGGGGTCCCCAGGCCTCGGGTGTGTTTTAGATTGAATTCAAATTAGTTTTGGTCTTGGAGTGTTGGCTGAAGTTTCAGGCATCTGGTGCGTTCGCACCTGCGGTGGGAATGGTCGCAGATGCGACACCGCAGGTGCAGCGTCATGGTCGCAGGTGCGAAAAGAAGTGGAGTCTAGGAGGACCGCAGATGTGTCGGTGTTTCCGCAGAAGTAAAAGCGCTTAAGCGATGAGAAGTCCACATATGCGTAAGTTATTGGACTTGGCCTTGGTCGCAGATGCGATAGGCGATCCGCAAGTGCGGATGCGCAGGAGCGGACGAGGGGCCGCAAAAGCGGTCTCGCAGGTGCGCTAGGTCATGGAATTAACTAAATCTCGCACCGAGGGTCGTAGAAGCAAAATCGCTTGCCAATGTTTAAAAATCGAAGGATTTAGTTATTTTTCTCATTTTTGGGATTTTGAAGTTCGGACTAGGGCGATTTTTGGTGAAGTTTCCACCTAGATTGAAGAGGTAAGTAACTTTTAATCACTTCTGTCTATAAATATGAATAACCATTGATTATTATACCTAATTTTGATGAATCTAAATTAGAATTTGGGAATTTTTGGACTATGTTATTAGAGAGCGAAATTTGAGGATTTGAAGGGCGATTTGTGGTTGGATTGGATGATTTTGATATGCTTGGATTCATAATTGAATGGGTGTTCAAAATTTGTGAATTTTATCGGGTTTCGAGGTGCGGGCCCGGAGTTGACTTTTTGGGTTGACTTTTTAATCTCAGCTTTATCTTTTGGAATCACTTCCTATGGCTTTTATCTATAGTATTATATTATTTTGGCTAGATTCAAGCCTTCAGGAGGTTGATACACCCGGGAAGGGTTAGCGGAGTGATTTGGTTTGCTTGAGGTAAGTATCTTATCTAAACTTGGTTGAGGCGCTAGTTGCCTGAATTATTCATGATAGCTATGTGCTATAGGTACGTACATATGTGGGGCTTGAACCCATGTGCTAACACCGGAGTATTTAACCATGCCTAGGTTGTGCTTAGGCTATGATATGCCTAGAATTGTCTGTTAAGCTTTAAGCTATGATGTTTCTCATATTTGTAATATTGTTGAAACTATTTGAGCCATGTTTTAGGCTATATAGAGGTTTAATCCCTGAATGAATTTGATAAATGCTATTTCTGTGATGAAATTATTAATTTGAGCTATGATAGCACACTTTGTACATGCCTACACTTTAGCATGTCATTTATACCAGTCCAGGTGCATGAGATCCATCATTTATTCATCACATACATGTATTCTTGTTTATTTGCTCCTGTGTGATATGATTGGACTGGATGCCTGTGACCACTCTGGGCGGATTGTGTTGTTATGCCTGCGATCACACCGGGCGTATTGTGTAGTTATGCATGTGACCATGTCGAACGGATTGTATTGTTATAGCCCTGACCACGCCGGCGAATTGTATTATTATGCCTATGACTACGCCAGACGGATTATGTTGTTGTGCCTGCGACCACACCGAGCAGATTTATTGAACATGTGACCACCCCAGACAGATTATGTTGTTGTTATGCCTGTGACCATAAATACAAAAGTAGATATAATTCTTGTTCTCTTCTGTGAATAATGACATAGACTTTTACAGTCTAGTCATGCTTTTCTTTTTGTTAAAATACTTATTTAGTGTTTAAAAAAAGTAAAGTAAAATTGAAGGAGTGTTTTCTTGTGTTTTTAAATATCTTATTATTTAGAGGTAAAATAAATAAATAAATAAGTAAAAGACTAGAGAGTACCAAACAAAAGGATCCAAGCCATTAATATTTTTCTTGGACACAACTTCACTGGAGCTAATCTTTTCCCCTAATTATCAACCGTACTATTCCCCCTTATGAGGGAAACCCAAGCTCAAGACAAATCTAGACTTTATGTAGTCCAATGAAATTCGACGCCGAAAAAAGTATCAAGTGGTATGATACTTATATGAAAATTACGTTTTGTATTATTTTGTTGAAGATAAATACTCCTACTACTTTCTGAGTTTAAAAGGGACAGGACAGTAACTTCAGCAACTAACATTCCCTTTAGGCCTTTAAATACCCAAATAATTCCCTTGATGGAGACAACTTTCCGTGTACTTTATTCTTTGGTATCTTTTCCCTTACATTTGAGTTTTTATCTTATTTCACTCCTCAGACATGGAAGATGAAGCGCAAGACTCTACCTCATCAAACCAGTCTAATTCAACCCGGTCTAATTCCGAAAGAAATGAACCGGTGAGATCAAGGTGGAATCCAAAGCCGGAACAAATCCTAATACTTGAGTCAATCTTCAATAGTGGAATGGTAAATCCACCAAAAGATGAGACGGTGAGAATACGAAAAATTCTGGAGCAATTTGGCGCTGTTGGAGATGCAAATGTCTTCTACTGGTTTCAAAACCGCCGCTCAAGGTCTCGCCGTCGTCAAAGACAAATTCAGGCGAGTCTTAATGCTACCAACGAGAATAGTAGAAGTGGAGGAGAACAAGCTGCAAACTGTAGTAGTGGCTGTGCAATTCAATTTGGCCCCTCATCCATTTCTTTCCCTATGGCTGCACCTTCCAATTATCTTGTTCTTGGTTCTTCTTCGTCTTCTTGTGGAGGAGATATGGGAAATAATGCAAATGATGGTACTAATGGCCTCTTCCCTTTTTCTGGTCAAATGGGTCTTCCGGAAATCGAGCAAAACTCTTCTGTTAGCTCAATTTTGTGCTCACCAGCAGACAATGCTAACTTGCACTACCAAACTGGTATTGGTCTTTCTCAAAGTTCCAACAATTATTTTAATTATGACGTTTTTCTAAGCCATACTGGCAACTATTTATGAGATTCATACTTCTTGCTACCTTAATCAAGGCTTTGTTCTCACAATAAATGGCGGCATTTTTCTACTTGCCCCGGAATATAAGGAGGGAACACTCCACTTGAATTATATGCAAAAAAAAAAAAAAAAAACA